TAGATAGAGATGGGTAGATATAGATATACAGATAATATTTGTGTTTGTTTGAATAGTTCTTAGTTGTAACAATGTTTTTCAGCAATAACTTGTATACCATTGGACAACCTGTTTTTCCCTTTAAATACTGCAGACACAATTGACTAATGTGCAGGGTCTATGCTTACTAGTTGGTTTTTCATGGGTACAACCCATATACTCAACTCTGCAGCTGAACCCACAAATGCAATTGTTTACAAATGTGACAAATTTAAGAGGAAATAAACAGGCTTTCCAACCAGACATGATGTATTCCCAAGAAACATTTTTAAATCCCAGAAATAATCAACCAAATTTCCTCATTTTTTGTGCATGGTTTATATAACAGTATGTTTACTGTCCCATTACAGACAGCACAGTATTAGAGCTACTCCATGCCAATTAAAACTGCCTAACTGCTGCTGACCCTCTACCGCTCGTCCATTGAGAGCCTGCTAACCTACTGCATCACGGTATGGTACGGCAGCTGCACCAAGGCGGATAGAGTGAGGCTTCAGAGTAGGGCTGGGCGATATATCGAGTTTTTTTAAAATATTGATATATTTTCATACGAGATATAAGATGTGACAATATCGTTTATATCGATATAGTATATGTTACGTTATAATTATACTTGTGGAGCCGCAAGTTTGCCTCTCTTTCGTCCACTTTTGTCTCTACGCTGCGTTACTCTGCCTCGCCTCTCCTTCACTGAACACAACTCCCCCTCCTCCCCCATAGCTTCACCTGCAGGAAACAACAAGACGAACACGGCAAATCTCCGTTAACGAGTTACCGCGGATCACCCCGTGCATGGGGCTGGATGGCGTCAACGTGTTAGCGAGCTAACCGCGCTAACGACATGCAGCCCACAGGGGCTGCATGACCTAAAATCCTTTCATTTTCTCAAAAATCGACAGTGCGCCTTATGTATGAATTCTGGTTGTGCTTACTGACCGCGAACCGATTTTATGTGGTACACAGCCCTCAGCAATCTGTCAAAAAATGCTTTAGTTCGACTTTGGTGAGCTGCACCGCTTGATGGATTGTCGGAGCATTACGGCTACCGTAGTCCGGAGCCACGCGGAGTGATACGTACTGTGCTCCAACGTAATATTACCATATTTTGTGTGTGTGTGTGTGTATATATATATATATATATATATCTCCTTTTCCCTATGTTAATACTGTCCATATGTACTCCATTTTTTTAACCACATCTAATGCCTAATGACATTTTTGGCTCAGCCCAAAACAGCAATAACATGCACATAAGCCTAACTACCTAACTGAAGTTCCCATCATACACTCCCTTTCTTTTTCCTTCACATAAGAACAAGAACAAGACCTTGAGATCCTTGAACACCCCCCTTTTGAGGCAGCAACTCATTCCCAGCTAGAGTGGGCACTAATTGCCTTGCTGGCTGAAAACCACGGCCTCATATTTTGAGGTCCTAATTTCATCCCAGCCATCATTTGATAAAGCCAACAGAACCACATCACTTGCAAAAGACAAAAGACCCTGAGACCACACAACCTAACACCTTCTGCACCTGGTGTGTAAGAATTATAGACTGAATTGATGTCAATGAGCAGCCTCTGCAGAATCCAAAAACTACTGTGAACAAGTTTGACTCACCACAGTTGTAGGGGGTCTAAATGGACTATCATTATGGGCACCTAATGCCTTGCATTCCCCACAGAGGAAGTTGTATTTTTATTCGTAAAGGACTTTATTAAAAGTGCTCCTTATCAAATATTTTTGTGCCTGAATGTTTCTGGTAGAATACAGTTTCTTAATTATTTTAGAGACAATGATCATACAACAATATAGATACATCTTGGATTTAACTTCCTA